AAACCCCGCCCCCCCCCCACAACCCACCCCAGCCATCCCCTAAATCCACCCCGAGGAACCCCAAAACCCAACCCCTCCTTCCCTTGAGGACCCCCCAAAATCCCCTCAGGGACCCCCCGGGATCCGGATCCAGCCCGTCCCACCCACAGGCTCCTTCCCATCCTCCCCAAGCCAGCCCGGGACCCCTCCCCAACCCCTCCGAGCCCCCCCAAGGGGCGCCCCCAGCCCCTCCAAACCCCCACAGGGTCCCCCCATTGTCCGGAGCCCCCCCCGGGACCCCCCGAACCCCCAAAGCCGCCCCGGCGCCCCCCCCAACATGGCGTCCCCCACTCACCGCCTGCCCGCAGCCCCCGCCCGCCCCTGCCCCTGCGGGAGCTCCGCCTCCGGGGCTGCGCGCTGCGCCCGCCAATCAGCGAGCGGGATCCGCCCTAAGGGCGGGACATCGCAGTGTGATTGGTTCTTAAAGCTGTCTGTCAAAGTTCATCGTAGCGTCTCATTGGTTTGTGGTGTGTGGGCGGGCGAATCGGGGAACTTTGGTGTTCATTGGTTCGTTTTGCTGTCGATCATTAATCCCTGCCTTCCTATTGGCTAGCGCGCGGTCGGAGCGGGAGGTTCGCTCTGAGGCGGCCCTGGTTTCCCCCTCGAGCTCCGCTCGATTCCCGGTCCCGATCCCGGTTCCAATCACCGAGCGGGATCCACCTTAGGGGCGGAATATCACAATTTTATTGGCTATTTTAGCTGTCTGTCAAGCTTCATCGTAGCGTCTCAGTGGTTGTTGCTATGTGGGCGGGCGCTTCGCGGTGCTTTGATGTTTACTGGTTTACGTTGCTGTCAATCACTAATCCCTGCCTTCCTATTGGCTAGCGCGCGGTCGGAGCGGGAGGTTCGCTCTGAGGCGGCCCCGGGTTCCCCCCCGAGCTCCCCGGTCTCGATTCCCGGTCCCGGTTCCAATCAGCGAGCGAGATCTACCCTAAGGGCGGAACATCACAGTTTTATTGGATATTCTCGCTGTCTGTCAAACTTCATTGTAGCGTCTCACTGGTTGTTGGTGTGCGGGCGGGCGCTTTGCTGTCCTCTGATGTTTATTGGCTCCCTTTGCTGTCAATCACCAATCTCTGCCTTCCTATTGGCTAGCGCGCGGTCGGAGCGGGAGGTTCGCTCTGAGGCGGCCCCGGTTTCCCCTCCGAGCTCCGCTCGATCCCCGGTCCCGATCCCCGATCCCGGTTCCAATCCCCAATCCCGGTTCCAATCCCCGATCCCGCGGCCACCGGGAGCTGACGGCGCTGCCGAAGCGCTGGGAACCGGAATTCCTGCGGGAACAACGGCGCCAAACCCAGCCCGGTCCTGCTGAGGGCGGGAATTCGTGAGGGGAGAATTCCTGAAGGGAACTCCCGGAATTGCTGTGGGGACAGGGCTGGTGTTGGGGTCCCTGGGGTGATTTTGGGGCTCTCTGCGATGATTTTGGGGACCCCGGGGAATTTTCTGGGATTATTTTGGGGCGCTGGGCTGGTTTGGGGTCCCTGTGGGGTTTTGGGGCGCTCTGCGATGATTTTGGGGATCCCGGGGAATTTTCTGGGATTGTTTTGGGGCGCTGAGCAAGGAGAGGCTCCCTGGGCTGGTTTGGGGGTCCCTGGGCTGGTTTGGGGTCCTTGGGGTGGTTTTGGGGGGCTTTGTGAAGTTTTTGGGGATCCTGGGGAAATTTTTGGGATCATTTTGGGGCGCTGGGCAGGGAGAGGCTCCCTGAGCTGGTTTGGGGTCCCTAGGGTGATTTTGGGGCGCTCTGCGATGATTTTTGGGGATCCCGGGGAATTCCCGGGGAATTTTGGGGCGCTGGTGAAGGAGAGGCTCCCTGGGCTGATTTGGGGGTCCTTGGGGTGATTTTGGGGCGCTCTGCGATAATTTTTGGGGATCCTTGGGAAGTTTTTGGGGTGGTTTTGGGGCGCTGGGCAGGGAGAAGTTTTTGGGGTGGTTTTGGGGCGCTCTGCGATGATTTTGGGGGTCCCGAGGAAGTTTCTGGGGTGGTTTTGGGGCGCTGGGCAGGGCGAGGCTCCCTGGGCTCCTTTGGGGATTCCTGCGGGGTTTTGGGGCGCTCTGCGATGATTTTGGGGATCCCGGGGAAATTTCTGGGCTGGTTTGGGGGGGTCCCTGTGGGGTTTTGGGGTCCCTGGGCTGGTTTGGGGGTCCCTGTGATGATTTTGGGGCGCTCTGCGGTGGTTTTGGGGTCCCGGAGAAGTTTCTGGAATGGTTTGGGGTTCCCTGTGGGGTTTTTGGGGTGTCCCTGAGATGGAAGGATCCTTTTTGGGCTTTCCCCTATAAAACCACCTATAAAATCCCCCACTCCGATCCAGCTCACAAAAACACCCGCGGTTTCTTTGTCGCGATAGCCACGCCCGGAAGTAGCTCCATGGGGGACCGGAGTGCGGGGAGCACCTTTGAGGTTGGTGCAGCAATAAAAAGGCTCCGGGTGGAACCGACAGCGGGAGGGGACCGGGGGAACGCGACCCTGGGGACATTTTGGGGACAGACAAAATCCCAAATTCCCAAATCAAATCCCAAATTCCCAAATCAAATCCCAAATTCCCAAATCCCATCCCAAATTCCCAAATTCCCGCCCTTTTCCCGCTCCAAAAGGCACCCGGAACCAGCAGCGCTTTCCATACGGAGCTTTATTCACACGCGAGGGAGGGGCCGCAGCCCCCCCCCAAATACAGAATTCGGCGCCCCCTTTTTGGGGGGACCCCAAAAATCCAAACCCCCCCCCCCCCCCCCGTGTGGGGTGAGGGGAGGAAAATTCCCGAAGGAATTCCCGAGGGAATTCCCGGGATCGGGGGAATCCTGGGAAAACCCCGGGGGAGGGAGCAGGGCCGGGTCTGTCCCTTTAAATTCGGTTTTTTATATTATTTTATCCATTAATTTTTATTTTTTTTATTTAATTAATAATAATAAATAAAAACCTCGAGGCTTTAAAAAAAAATGAACCCCAAAAAAAAAACCCCGCCAGGAATAAAAGGAGGAAGGGAAAAAATGATTTAAAAATTAATGAGTGAGCCCCAGGAATTAATTAAGAATTAATTAAAACTTAATTAAGCCGAGGAGGAAATTTGGGGGGTCCCCTGGCAGTGAGCAGAGCTGGGAGGTAGCGCTGGGTTGGCCCCACCACCCCCAGTTTGGGGACCCCCCCATACCCCAATTTGGGGACCCCCACCCTAATTTGGGGACCCCCCACCCTAATTTGGGGACCCCCCCACAGTTTGGGGACATCACCCATGGGACCCCCATTTTGGGGACCGTCCCCATTTTGGGGACCCCCTTTATGGGATCCCTTATTTTGGGGACCTTCTCCATTTTGGGGATCCCCCAATTTTGGGGACTGTCTCCACCTTGGTGACCTTCTCCATTTTAGGGACCTTCTCCACCTTGGGGACCCCATTTTGGGGACCCCCCATTTTAGGGGACCGTCCCCACCTTGGTGACCCCTCCATTTTAGGGACTTTCAATGGGACCCCCCATTTTGGGGACCCCCCCTCCATTTTGGGGACCCCCCCTCCATTTTGGGGACTGTCCCCACCTTGGTGACCTCCTCCATTTTGGGGACCATCTCCACCTTGGGGACCCCATTTTGAGGACCTCCAACCCATGGGACCCCCCCAATTTGGGGACCTTCTCCACTTTGGGGACCCCCATTTTGAGGACCCCTCCATGAGACTCTTCTCCATTTTGGGGACCCCCATGGGATCCCCCCATTTTGGGGGACCGTCCCCACCTTGGTGACCCCTCAGTTTTAGGGACCTCGAATGGGACCCCCCATTCTGGGGACCTTCTCCGGCTTGGTGACCCCCCCAATTTGGGGACCATCCCCATTTTGGGGATCCCCCCCGTTTTGGGGACCATCCCCATTTTGGTGACCCCCCCCGTTTTGGGGACCATCCACATTTTGGGGACCCCCCCCGTTTTGGGGACCCCCCCGTTTTGGGGACCATCCCCATTTTGGGGACCCCCCCGTTTTGGGGACCATCCCCATTTTGGGGATCCCCCATTTAGGTGACCTCATCCCCATCTGAGTGACCCTTCCATTTTGGGGACCCCCTGTTTTGGGGACCCCTCTATTTGGGGACTTTCTCCACCTTGGGGACCCCATTTTGAGGACCTCCAACCCATGGGACTCCCATTTTGGGGACCGTCCCCATTTTGGGGACCCCCTTTATGGGATCCCCTATTTTGGGGACCTTCTCCGTTTTGGGGACCCCCCAATTTTGGGGACTGTCCCCACCTTGGTGACCGTCTCCATTTTGGAGACCTCCACCTTGGGGACCCCCCAATTTTGGGGACCATCCCCATTTTGGGGACCCCTCCATTTTGGGGACATCACCCATGGGACCCCCAATTTTGGGGACCATCCCCACCTTGGGGACCCCTCCATTTTGGGGACCTCCCACCCATGGGACCCCCAATTTTGGGGACCATCCCCACTTTGGGGACCCCCTCCATGGGCCCTCCTCCATCTTGGGGACCTTCTCCACCTTGGGGACCCCATCTTGAGGATCTCCCCCTTGGTGACCCCCAGTCTCCTCCAGGACCCACCTTGGTGACCCCCCCATTTTTGGGGACCTTCTCCACTTTGGGGACCTCCCCCAGGACTTGGTGGCCATTTTGGGACCAACCCCCAATTTTGGGGACCATCCCATTTTTGGACCAACCTCCATTTTGGGGACCAACCTCCATTTTGGGGACCTTCTCCACTTTGGGGACCTCCCAGGACTTGGTGGCCATTTTGGGGACCAACCTCCATTTTGGGGACCCCCTCCCTGCCTTGGGGACCATCCCAGGATCTTGGGGACCCCCCCACTGTGGGGACCTCTCCATTTTGGGGACCTGATGGACATTGGGGTCACCAAGGTGGGACCTGGAGAAGGTTTGGGGTCACCAAGGTGGGACCTGATGGACATTGGGGGCACCAAGGTGGAGCCTGGAGAAGGTTTGGGGTCACCAAGGTGGGACCTGATGGACATTGGGGGCACCAAGGTGGAGCCTGGAGAAGGTTTGGGGTCACCAAGGTGGGACCTGGAGGAAGTTTGGGGTCACCAAGGTGGGACCTGGTGGAGATTTGGGGTCACCAAGATGGGACCTGGAGAAGGTTTGGGGTCACCAAGGTGGGACCTGGTGGAGATTTGTGGTCACCAAGGTGGGACCTGATGGACATTGGGGTCACCAAGGTGGGACCTGGAGAAGGTTTGGGCTCACCAAGGTGGGACCTGCTGGAAATTGGGGTCACCAAGGTGGGACCTGGAGAAGGTTTGGGGTCACCAAGGTGGGACCTGGTGGAGATTTGGGGTCACCAAGGTGGGACCTGGAACTGGTGGGGTCACCACGGTGGAACCTGGTGGAGATCGGGGTCCATCAGGGTGGCACGTGGAGCAACCGAAGGAGATTTGGGAGCACCAAGGTGGGACCTGGTGGAGATCTGAGGTCACCAAGGTGGGACCTGGAACTGGTGGGAGCACCAAGGTGGATCCTGCTGGAGACAGGGAGTCACCAAGCTGGGACCTGGAGAAGATCTGGGGTCCTCAAGGTGGTGCCTGGAGATCTGGGGTCACCAAGATGGGACCTGGAGAAGATCTGGGGTCACCAAGATGGGACCTGGAGGAGATTTGGGGTCCCCAAGGTGGGACGTGGAGGATCTGAAGAAGATTGAAGGGCACCAAGGTGGGTCCTGCTGGAAGCTGGAGGTCACCAAGGTGGGACCTGGTGGGACTTGGGGGACACCAAGACGGGACCTGCTGGAGATTTGGGGACACCAAAGGTGGAACCTGGAGAAGGTTTGAGATCACCAAGGTAGAACCTGCTGGAGATTTGGGGACACCAAAGGTGGGACCTGGAAGGGGTGGGGACACCAAGGTGGGACCTGCTGGAACTTGGAGGACCCCAAGGTGGGACCTGGTGGACACTGGGGTCACCAAGGTGAAACCTGGAAGATCTGAAGAAGATTGAGGGGCACCAAGGTGGGACCTGGTGGAGATTGTCCAAGGTTGAACCTGGAGGAGACCTGGGGACACCAAGGTGGGACCTGGTGGAGACTGGGGGGCCCATCAGGGGTGGGATGTCGAGGACCTGGTGGAGATCTGGGGTCACCAAAGTGGGACCTGGAGAAGGTTTGGGGTCACCAAGGTGGAACCTGGAGAAGACTTGGGGACACCAAGGTGGGACCAGGTGGAACTGGTGGGAGCACCAAGGAGGTCCTGCTGGACATTGGGGGTCATCAGGGTGGGACCTGGAGAAGGTCTGGGGTCACCAAGGCGGGGCCTGGAGGATCTGAAGAAGATTGAGGGACACCAAGGAGGTCCTGCTGGAAGTTGGGGGTCACCACGGTGGAACTGGTGGAGATTGGAGATCACAAGGTGGGACCTGGTGGAGATCTGGGATCACCAAGGTGGGACATGGTGGACATGGGAGTCACCAAGGTGGGACCTGGAGAAGGTTTGGGGGCACCAAGGTGGGACCTGGTGGAGATTTGGGGTCACCAAGGTGGGACCTGGAACTGGTGGGGTCACCAAGGTGGAACCTGGTGGAGATCGGGGTCCATCAGGGTGGCACGTGGAGGAACCGAAGGAGATTTGGGAGCACCAAGGTGGGACCTGGAGAAGGTTTGGGGTCACCGAGGTGAGACCTGGTGGACATGGGAGTCACCGAGGTGGGACCTGGAGAAGATCTGGGGTCACCAAGGTGGGAGCTGCTGGAGATTGTGGTTTCCATCAGGGTGGCACGTGGAGGACCTGGAGGAGGTTTTGTGGCACCAAGGTGGGACCTGGAAGTGGTGGGGGCACCAAGGTGGGACCTGGTGGACATTGGGGGTCACCAAAGTGGGACCTGGAGAAGGTCTGGTGTCACCAAGGCGGGGCCTGGAATCTTGGGGCCTGGTGGGGGCACCAAGGAGGTCCTGCTGGAACTTGGGAGACACCAAGGTGGGACCTGGTGGAGATCTGGGGTCACCAAGGTGGGACCTTGAGAGGATTTGGTGTCACCAAGGTGGGACCTGGAAGTGGTGGGAGCACCAAGGAGGTCCTCTTGAAGGTGGGGTGCACCAAGGTGGGACCTGGAGGAGATTGGAGATCACCAAGGTGGGACCTGGTGGAGATCTGAGGTCACCAAGGTGGAACCTGGAGGAGATTTGGGGTCCCCAAGGTGGAACCTGGTGGATCTGAAGAAGATTGAGGGGCACCAAGGTGGGACCTGCTGGAGGTTGGAGATGACCAAAGCGGAACCTGGTGGAGATCTGAGGTCACCAAGGTGGGACCTGGAACTGATGGGAGCACCAAGAAGATCCTCCTGGAACTTGGGGGACACCAAGGTGGGACCTGCTGGAGGTTGGAGATGACCAAAGCGGAACCTGGAGATCTGAGGACCCCAAGGTGGGACCTGGAGAAGGTTTGGGGGCACCAAGGTGGGACCTGGTGGAGACCTGGGGGGGCCTGGAGGGGTTTGGGGGTGCTCGGGTGGGACCTGGAGCAGATGGAGGTGCCCCGGTGGGATGGGCAGGACCAGGGGAGATCTGGGGGCACCAGGGCTGGACTGGGGGGACCTGGAGGAGATCAGGGACACCGAGGTAGGACCTGGAGGATGCTGGGGACACTGAGGTGGGCTGGGCAGGACCAGGTGGAGATGGGTGCCCAGGTGGGTCCTGGAGAAGATGATGGACACCAGGATGGGTCCAGGAGAAGCAGGAGGAGATGATGGACGCCAGGATGGGTCCAGGAGAAGCAGGAGGAGATGATGGACACCAGGATGGGTCCAGGAGAAGCAGGAGGAGATGATGGACACCAGGATGGGTCCAGGAGAAGCAGGAGGAGATGATGGACGCCAGGATGGGTCCAGGAGAAGCAGGAGGAGATGATGGACGCCAGGATGGGTCCAGGAGCTGGATGGACACTAGGAGGGGTTCAGGAGGACCAGGAGTTGATGGTGGAAACCAGGATGGGTTCAGGAAGACCAGGAGGAGATGATGGACCCCAAAATGGCTCCAGGAGTCAATGGTGGACACCAAGATGGGCTCAAGAGTTGGATGGACACCAAGACAAACCCAGGTGGACCATGAGAAGATGATGAACCCCAAGATGGCTCCAGGAGTTGATGGTGGACACCAGGGTGGGTTCAGGAGGACCAGGAGTTGATGGTGGACCCCAAAATGGCTCCAGGATTTGATGGCGCACCCCCAGATAGGTTCAGGAGGACCAGGAGGAGATGGTGGATCTCAAGATGGGCCCAGAGGAACCAGGAGTTGATGGTGGACACCAAGATGGCTCCAGGAGTTGATGGTGGACCCCAAGATGGATTCAGGAGGACCAGGAGGAGATGGCGGACCCCAAAATGGCTCCAGGAGTTGATGGTGGACACCAAGATGGGTTCAGAAGTTGATGGTGGACACCAAGATGTCTCCAGGACTTGGACGGACCCCAGGATGGGTTCAGGAGGACCAGGAGGAAATGATGGACCCCAAAATGGCTCCAGGAGCTGATGGTGGACACCAGGATTGGTCGATGAGGACCATGAGGAGAAGATGAACCCCAAGATGTCTCCAGGAGCTGATGGTGGACACCAGGATTGGTCGAGGAGAACCATGAGGAGAAGATGAACCCCAAGATGTCTCCAGGAGCTGATGGTGGACACCAGGATTGGTCGATGAGGACCATGAGGAGAAGATGAACCCCAAGATGTCTCCAGGAGCTGCTGGTGGACACCAGGATGGGCCCAGAAGAACCAGGAGCAGATGGAGGTCCTGGGGCAGCTCCACCAGCGCCGGGCAGAGCCGGTGGGCCCCGGACAGGTCCTGGTGGTGCCAACGTGGTGGGACAGGGTGGACACGGTGACACGAGGGGACACCGATGGCTCCTCCAGGATGGACAATCGGCCACCACCACCCCCCCGGGGCCACCACTGCCACGGGGACCTCCCAGGTCTCCTCCCCGGGGTGGACCGTGGTCACTGAGGTCCCCTGGTGTCCAGGTGACCTCCTCAACCCCATGGAGATCCCTCAGGGTCCACCAGGATGTTCCTCAGGAGCCCCCGGAGAAGAACCGGGCGGTGACACGGCCAGGAGGTCGGGGTGGACCTCGAGGACTTCTCCTTGTCCGGGTGGGGATGGATGGAGACCATCCCTGGATGTTCTCCGGCCAGGAGGTCCTGCTGGAGATGGAGCTCGGCACGAGGGGAGGGTGGAGAAGCTCATGGAGCTCCAGGTTCTTGGGGGAGATGGAGATCACCACGCGGTGGAGAAGCTCATGGAGCTCCTGGTTCTTGGTGGACATGGAGCTCACCACACAGTGAAGAACCTCATGGACCTCCTGTTCCTGGTGGAGATGGATTTCCCCACGTGGTGAAGAACCTCCTGGTTCCTGGTGGAGACGGGTGCCACCACGTGGTGAAGAACCCCATGGACCTCCAGGTTCTTGGTGAAGATGGGACTCACCCCGTGATGGAGAAGCTCACAGACCTCCAGGTTCCTGGTGGAGATTGAGCTGTCCACATGGTGAGGAACCTCCTGTTCCTGGTGGAGATGGATCTCACCACACGGTGAAGAACCTCACAGACCTCCTGATTCCTGGTGAAGAACCTCATGGACCTCCAGGTTCTTGGTGATGATGGAGCTCACCACATGGTGAAGAACTCCAGGTTCTTGGTGGAGATGGTGACTTTGGAGAACCTCACAGACCTCCCGGTTCTTGGTGAACATCGAGCTCACCACGTGGTGGAGAACCTGCTGTTCCTGGTGGAGATGGATCTCACCATGTGGTGAGGAACCTCGTGGACCTCCTGTTCCTGGTGCAGAGATGCCACCACGTGGTGAGGAACCTCCTGTTCCTCGTGGAGATGGGTGCCACCACGTGGTGAAGAACCTCATGGACCTCCAGGTTCTTGATGGACATGGAACTCACAACATGGTGAAGAACCTCCTGTTCCTGGTGGAGATGGGTGCCACCACGTGGTGGAGAACCTCTTGTTCCTGGTGTGGAGATGCCACCACGTGGTGAGGAACCTCCTGTTCCTGGTGGAGATGGGTGCCACCACGTGGTGAAGAACCTCATGGACCTCCAGGTTCTTGATAGACATGGAACTCACAACATGGTGAAGAACCTCCTGTTCCTGGTGGAGATGCCACCACGCGGTGAGGAACCTCCTGTTCCTGGTGTGGAGATGCCACCACGCGGTGAGGAACCTCCTGTTCCAGGCGGAGATGCCACCAGGCGGGGCCGGCGGCGCTGGCAGGGGACAGCGGTGGGGTGGGGTGGGGTGGGACAGCCGGTGGCCGCTATAGGACGCCCTCCATGAAGCTGGTGTCCAGGTGCTGGATGAGGACGCGGATGAAGGACATCTCCTTGCGCGTGTTCTCGAAGATGACGCGCGGGTCGTCGGAGCGGCAGCGCAGGCAGTTGGGCGCCATCACCATGGCCAGGTTGTTCACGTCCATCTTGGTCACCGCCACGTTGGCCGGCTGCACGAACACCTGGGGAACGTGGAGGAGAAAGGGCGAGGTCAGCAGGGCGGTGGGACACCGGGTGGACGTGGTTCTTCATCTTGTGGTGACCTCAGAGAACCCAAGGAACCAGGAGGTCGCCGGGAGCTCCAGCTCATGGCGTGGATGGAGGAAGATGGAGGTGATGGGGTTGGTGGAACTCCCGGTTCTTCTCATGGTGACCTTGAGGAGCCCAAAAGCACCTCAGGAGAAGAAACCAGGATCGTAAACTCATGGGGTGGGAGGAGAAAGGGGGAGGTGATGGGGTTGGTTCTTCTCATGGTGACCTGGAAGAACCCAAACCCACCTCAGGAGAAGGAACCAGACCTGGAGGTCACCAGGAGCCCCAACACATGGGTTGGGAGGAGAAACATGGAGGTGATGGGTTGGTGGATCTCCCGGTTCTTCTCATGGTGACCTTGGAGAACTCAAAACCACCTCAGGAGAAGGAACCAGGAGGTCACCATGGGCATGAACTCATGGGGTGGGAGGAAGAAGATGGAGGTGATGGGGTTGGTGGAACTCCTGGTTCTTCTCATGGTGACCCTGAGGAGCCCAAAAGCACCTCAGGAGAAGGAACCAGGGGCACCAACCCATGGGGTGGAAGGAGAAAGGTGGAGGTCAATGGGTGGTGGGACACCAGGTGGGGTTGGACCTTCAGCATGTGGTGACCTTGGGGAACCCAAAAGCACCTCAGGAGAACCAACCTGACCTGGAGGTCACCAGGAGCTCCAGCTCATGGGGTGGATGGAGGAAGATGGAGGTGATGGGTTGGTGGAACTCCTGGTTCTTCTCATGGAAACCTTGGAGAACCCAAAACCATCTCAGGAGAAGAAACCAGGAGAATCGACCAGGATCATGAACTCACGGGGTGGGAGGAGAAAGATGGAGGTGATGGGGTTGGTGGAACTCCCGGTACTTGGCCACCACGTGGTGACCTCAAAGAACCCAAAAGCACCTCAGGAGAAGGAACCAGACCTGGAGGTCACCAGGAGAACCAACTCATGGGGTGGGAGGAGAAACGTGGAGGTGATGGGGTTGGTGGAAATCCTGGTTCTTCTCACGGTGACCTCGAAGAACCCAAAACCGCCTCAGGAGAAGGAACCAGGAGCACCAACCCACGGGGTGGTAGAAGGGAAATGGAGATGATGGGGTTGGTGGAACTCCTGGTTCTTGTGTCACCATGAGGTGAAGCTGGAGAACCCAAAACCATCTCAGGAGAAGGAACCAGGAGGTCACCAGGAGAACCAACTCATGGGGCGGTAGAAAGGAGATGGAAGTGATGGGATTGGTGGAACTGATGGGATTGGTGGAACTCCCGGTTCTTCTCATGGAGAACCCAAAACCACCTCAAGAGAAGGAACCAGGAGGTCACCAGGAGCACAAACTGACAGAATGGGAGGAGAAAGATGGAGATGATGGGTTGGTGGAACTCCTGGTTCCTCTGATGGTGACCTTGAAGAACCCAAACCCACCTCAGGAGAAAGACCCAGGAGCACCAACCCATGGGGTGGCAGACGGGAAATGGAAGCCATGGGGTTGGTGGAACTCCCGGTTCTTCTCATGGAAACCTTGGAGAACCCAAACCCACCTCAGGAGAAGGCACCAGGAGCACCAACCCTCGGGGTGGTAGACAGGAAATGGAAGTGATGGGTTGGTGAAACTCCCGGTTCTTCTCATGGTGACCTCGGAGAACCCAAACCCACCTCAGGAGAAGGACCCAGGAGCACCAATCCATGGAATGGCAGATGGGAAATGGAAGCCATGGGCTTGGTGACCCCACAACCACGTCGGGACACCCACCGCCACCCTCGGGTCCTGCCCCACCGGGAGGTCCCCGCGGGCACCTGGAGGAACCGGATGAGGTAGCAGAGCACCATCCCATGGGGTGGCAGACGGGAAATGGAAGTGATGGATTGGTGAAACTCCCGGTTCTTCTCATGGTGACCTCGGAGAACCCAAACCCACCTCAGGAGAAGGACCCAGGAGCACCAACCCGCGGGGTGGCAGATGGGAAATGGAAGCCATGGGGTTGGTGACCCCACACCCACCTCAGGAGAAGGACCCAGGAGCACCAACCAATGGAATGGCAGACGGGAAATGGAAGCCATGGGCTTGGTGACCCCACAACCACGTCGGGACCCCCACCCCCACCCCTTGGTCCCGCCCCACCGGGAGGTCCCCGCGGGCACCTGGAGGAACCGGATGAGGTAGCAGAGCACCATCCTGTTGATGCGGGGCAGCGCGTGCACCACGGCCACGGCGGCCTCGGGGCTCTCGTAGTGCGAGATGCAGCGCTCGTAGAACTCGTGCGGGATCAGCGGCTCCTCCAGCTCGCGGTACCACAGCTTCAGCAGCGACGCTGCAGAAGACAACCCACCCGCCGTGAGGACCTCTCCCGACGGCGGGGATGGAGTCCCACCAGCAGAAATAGCCCCCGGGTCCTACCGGGAACGTGCGGGTCCTCCAGGCCGGTGGGGATCTTCCACTGGTCCACCTGCAGCTTGAGGGCGTTGACCTCGTCGATGTCGCCGGGGACCCTGCGGGGATGGACGGGGTTGGTGGGGTGGGACCGGTGGGGACATCCCGGACCTGCAGATCCCCTCCAGGAGAACCTGGTGGGGACCTCAGCTGGGCACGGAGATGGTGGGGCCACCAGGAGACCACCATGACTGGTGGCCACCGTGGAGAAACGTCCATGGCCTTGGAGGTGTCTTGGGAGCTTGGTGCCACCAAGATCTTGCCATGACCTCCATGGAGAAACCTCCATGACCGTGGAGATATCTTGGGAGCTTGGTGCCACCAAGAGCCCACCATGACTGTGGTGGCCACCATGGAGAAACCTCCATGGCCCTGGAGCTGTTTTGGGACCTTGGTGCCACCAGGAGCCCACCATGACTCTGGTGGTCACCATGGAGCGAGGAGAAGTTGGAGGGACCCGCTTGGATGGTGCCATGACTGGTGGACATCATGGAGAAACCTCCATGACCTTGGAGACATCTTGGGAGCTTGGTGCCACCAGGAGCCCATCTTGGGGGACATTGTGGAGGAATCTCCATCGGGGATGGAGGGATTGGTGGGGTGGGACTGGTGGGGACATCCCGGATCTGCAGAGCTGGGTGGTCCAGGAGAACCTGGAGGGGACGTCAGCTGGGCAGGGAGATGGTGGGGCCACCAGGAGACCATCTTGGGGGAGATCATGGAGAAACCTTCCTGGCCTTGGAGGTGTTTTGGGAGCTTGGTGCCACCAAGAACCCACCATGACTGTGGTGGCCACCATGGAGAAACCTCCATGGCCTTGGAAACATCTTGGGACCTTGGTGCCACCACGAGCCCATCTTGGGGGAGATCATGGAGAGGCCTCCATGGCCTTGGAGCTGTTCTGGGAGCTTGGTGCCACCAAGACCCCACCATGACTGTGGTGGCCACCATGAAGGAACCTCCATGGACCAAGGAGAACCTGGATGGTGCCACCAACACCCCACCACAACTTTGGTGGCCACCATGAAGAAACCTCCATGGCCCTGGAGCTGTTCTGGGAGCTTGGTGCCACCATGAGCTCACCATGACTGTGGTGGCCACCATGGAGAAACCTCCATGGACTTGGACTAAGGAGAAGTTGAGGCAACCCAGTGGATGGTGCCACCAAGACCCCACCATGACTGTGGTGGCCACCATGGAGAAACCTCTATGGACCAAGGAGAACCTGGATGGTGCCACCAAGACCTCACCATGGCTGTCGTGGCCATTGTGGAGAAAACTCCATGGTCTTGGACCTCGTTTGGGACCTTGGTGCCACCAAGACCTCACCATGACTTTGGTGGCCACCACGGAAAAACCCCTATGCACCCAGAAGAACCTTGATGGTGCCACCAAGACCTCACCATGGCTGTGGTGGCCACCATGGTGGACCAAGAAGAACCTTGATGGTGCCACCAAAACCCCACCACCACTTTGTTCTCCACCACCACCACCAACGCCCCCCATGCCCTTGGATCCCCCACCAGAGCAGAAGAACCCCAGGAACCAGAACTCTACGAGAACCTCCATCCAACCACCACCACCATGAGAGGTCCCCGTGGGGCGGGGTGGCCTGACCTGAAGATGCCCTCGGTCTGGTCGCCGTTGAGGGCCAGGACCTCCTCGGAGAGCCGGGTCTGCACCCAGGGCAGCTGCCGGTCGGGGTACCTGTCCCTCTGCATGGCCACGATCTCCTGCAGCGAGCTGCCGAACATGGACGGGCTGAAGATGGCGTTCCTGGCGTGCCGGATCTCCTCCAGGGTCGGCTTCTTCAGGCCCTGCAGGGGACAGCCCGGGTCAGGGAGGTGGCCGTGGTGGGATCTGCTCGGGGACACCGCCCTGAGGTCACCATGGTGGGATCTGCTCGGGGACATCGCCCTGAGGTCACCATGGTGACCATGGTGGGATCTGCTCGGGGACACCGCCCTGAGGTCACCATGGTGACCATGGTGGGATCTGCTCGGGGACACCGCCCTGAGGTCACCATGGTGGGATCTGCTCGGGGAGATCGCCCTGAGGTCACCATGGTGGTCATGGTGGGATCTGCTCAGGGACACCGCCCTGAGGTCACCATGGTGGGATCTGCTCGGGGACACCGCCCTGAGGTCACCATGGTGGGACCTGCTCGGGGACATCGCCCTGAGGTCACCATGGTGACCATGGTGGGATCTGCTCAGGGACACCGCCCTGAGGTCACCATGGTGGCCATGGTGGGATCTGCTCGGGGACACCGCCCTGAGGTCACCATGGTGGGACCTGCTCGGGGACATCGCCCTGAGGTCACCATGGTGGTCATGGTGGGATCTGCTCGGGGACACCGCCCTGAGGTCACTGTGGTGGGATCTGCTCGGGGACACCGCCCTGAGGTCACCATGGTGGAATCTGCTCGGGGACACCGCCCTGAGGTCACCATGGTGGGATCTGCTCGGGGACACCGCCCTGAGGTCACCATGGTGGGATCTGCTCGGGGACACCGCCCTGAGGTCACCATGGTGGGATCTGCTCGGGGACATCGCCCTGAGGTCACCATGGTGGCCATGGTGGGATCTGCTCAGGGACACCGCCCTGAGGTCACCATGGTGGGATCTGCTCGGGGACACCGCCCTGAGGTCACTGTGGTGGGATCTGCTCGGGGACACCGCCCTGAGGTCACCATGGTGACCATGGTGGGATCTGCTCAGGGACACCGCCCTGAGGTCACTGTGGTGGGATCTGCTCGGGGACATCTCCCTGAGGTCACCATGGTGGGACCTGCTCGGGGACACCGCCCTGAGGTCACCATGGTGGTCATGGTGGGATCTGCTCGGGGACATCGCCCTGAGGTCACCATGGTGGGATCTGCTCGGGGACACCGCCCTGAGGTCACCATGGTGGTCATGGTGGGATCTGCTCGGGGACACCGCCCTGAGGTCACCATGGTGGGATCTGCTCGGGGACATTGCCCTGAGGTCACCGTGGTGGGATCTGCTCGGGGACACCGCCCTGAGGTCACCGTGGTGGGACCTGCTCAGGGACACCGCCCTGAGGTCACCATGGTGACCATGGTGGGATCTGCTCGGGGACACCGCCCTGAGGTCACCATGGTGGGATCTGCTCGGGGACACCGCCCTGAGGTCACCATGGTGGGACCTGCTCGGGGACACCGCCCTGAGGTCACCATGGTGGTCATGGTGGGATCTGCTCGGGGACACCACCCGTGCGTGGGGGAGGTTGGTGGTGGGGACATGGTGGGGTTCCAGGAGACGTGGTCGTGGTGGTGCCACCTCCATGCAAGGGGTGGAGTTGGAGAAGACAAAAGGCTGTGGTGGCCACCATGGAGGAAGCTCCATGGAGCAAGGAGAACCTGGAGGGACCCACTGGATGGTGCCACCAAGATCTCACCATGACTTTGGTGGCCACCATGGAGAAACCTCCATGGAGCAAGGAGAACCTGGATGGTGCCACCAACACCCCACCATGACTGTGGTGGCCACCATGGAGAAACCTCCATGGACTTGGAGGAAGGAGAAGTTGAGGGAACCAGTGGATGGTGGCCACTGAGGTGACCTCAGGAGAAGGAACCAGATCCATCCATGGATCCATCCATGGATCCGTCCATCATCCATCCATCCATCCATCCATCCATCATCCATCATCCATCCATCATCCATCATCCATCATCCATCCATCCATCATCCATCCATCATCCATCCATCCATCCATCCATCCATCATCCATCCATCCATCCATCCATGGATCCATCCATCCATCATCCATCCATCCATCCATCCATCCATCATCCATCCATCCATCCATGGATCCATCCATCCATCATCCATCCATCCATCCATCATCCATCCATCCATCATCCATCCATCCATCATCCATCATCCATCCATCCATCCATCCATCATCCATCCATCATCCATCCATCCATCATCCATCATCCATCCATCCATCATCCATCCATCCATCCATCCATCATCCATCCATCCATCATCCATCCATCATCCATCCATCCATCCATCCATCATCCATCCATCCATCATCCATCCATCCATCATCCATCCATCATCCATCCATCCATCCATCATCCATCCATCCATCCATCCATCATCCATCCATCCATCATCCATCCATCCATCATCCATCCATGGATCCATCCATCCATCCATCCATCCATCCATCATCCATCATCCATCCATCATCCATCATCCATCCATCCATCCATCCATCATCCATCATCCATCCATCCATCCATCATCCATCCATCCATCATCCATCCATCCATCCATGGATCCATCCATCCATCATCCATCCATCATCCATCCATCCATCCATCCATCCATCCATCATCCATCCATCCATCCATCCATCCATCCATCATCCATCCATCATCCATCATCCATCCATCCATCCATCCATCCATCATCCATCCATCCATCCATCATCCATCATCCATCCATCCATCATCCATCCATCCATCATCCATCATCCATCATCCATCCATCCATCATCCATCCATCCATCCATCCATCCATCATCCATCCATCCATCCATGGATCCATCCATCCATCATCCATCCATCCATCATCCATCCATCATCCATCATCCATCATCCATCCATCCATCATCCATCATCCATCCATCCATCATCCATCCATCCATCCATCATCCATCATCCATCCATCCATCCATCCATCCATCCATCATCCATCCATCCATCCATCATCCATCCATCCATCATCCATCCATCCATCCATCATCCATCCATGGATCCATCCATCCATCCATCATCCATCATCCATCCATCATCCATCCATGGATCCATCCATCCATCATCCATCATCCATCATCCATCCATCCATCCATCCATCATCCATCATCCATCCATGGATCCATCCATCCATCATCCATCCATCCATCATCCATCATCCATCCATCCATCCATCATCCATCCATCCATCCATCATCCATCATCCATCCATCCATCATCCATCATCCATCCATCCATCCATCCATCATCCATCCATCCATAATCCATCATCCATCATCCATCCATCCATCCATCCATCATCCATCATCCATCCATCATCCATCCATCCATCATCCATCCATCATCCATCCATCCATCATCCATCCATCATCCATCCATCCATCCATCCATCATCCATCCATGGATCCATCCATCCATCATCCATCATCCATCATCCATCCATCCATCATCCATCCATCCATCCATCATCCATCCATCCATCCATGGATCCATCCATCCATCATCCATCCATCCATCCATCCATCCATCCATCATCCATCCATCATCCATCATCCATCCATCCATCCATCCATCCATCATCCATCATCCATCCATCCATCATCCATCATCCATCCATCCATCCATCCATCCATCCATCATCCATCCATCCATCCATCATCCATCATCCATCCATCCATCCATCCATCCATCCCTCATCCATCCATCCATCCATCATCCATCCATCCATCATCCATCCATCCATCCATCATCCATCCATGGATCCATCCATCCATCATCCATCCATCCATCATCCATCATCCATCATCCATCATCCATCCATCATCCATCATCCATCATCCATCCATCATCCATCCATCATCCATCCATCATCCATCCATCCATCCATGGATCCATCCATCCATCCATCCATCCATCATCCATCCATCCATCATCCATCCATCCATCCATGGATCCATCCATCCATCATCCATCCATCATCCATCCATCCATCCATCCATCCATCCATCATCCATCCATCCATCCATCCATCCATCATCCATCCATCATCCATCATCCATCCATCCATCCATCCATCCATCATCCATCCATCCATCCATCATCCATCATCCATCCATCCATCATCCATCCATCCATCCATCCATCATCCATCCATCATCCATCCATCCATCCATCCATCCATCATCCATCCATCCATCCATCCATCCATCATCCATCCATCCATCCATCCATCCATCATCCATCCATCCATCCATCCATCCATCATCCATCCATCCATCATCCATTCATCCATCATCCATCCATCCATCATCCATCCATGGATCCATCCATCCATCATCCATCCATCCATCATCCATCATCCATCCATGGATCCATCCATCCATCCATCATCCATCATCCATCCATCCATCATCCATCCATCCATCATCCATCATCCATTATCCATCCATCCATCATCCATCCATCCATCATCCATCCATCATCCATCATCCATCCATCCATCATCCATCCATCATCCATCATCCATCATCCATCCATCCATCCATCCATCCATCCATCATCCATCATCCATCCATCCATCATCCATCATCCATCCATCCATCATCCATCCATCCATCCATCATCCATCATCCATCCATCCATCCATCCATCCATCCATCATCCATCCATCCATCCATCATCCATCCATCCATCATCCATCATCCATCCATCATCCATCCATCATCCATCATCCATCCATCCATCCATCCATCATCCATCATCCATCCATGGATCCATCCATCCATCATCCATCCATCCATCATCCATCATCCATCCATCCATCCATCATCCATCCATCCATCCATCATCCATCATCCATCCATCCATCATCCATCATCCATCCATCCATCCATCCATCATCCATCCATCATCCATCATCCATCCATCCATCATCCATCATCCATCCATCCATCATCCATCCATCCATCCATCATCCATCATCCATCCATCCATCCATCCATCCATCCATCATCCATCCATCCA